CCTGAGGGGGGGCAGAGCAACCCTGCAGGGGCTCAGGGCAAGCCCCAAGGCAGGGGGAGATGGCAGGGACCGAGGTAAGGGGCCCTGGGGGAGGGAGGCAGCAGGACTTACAGCCTCGGGTGGGGGTGGGGGAGGGGCAGAGGCAAACAAGGCTGCCAGAGCCCAGGGGAAAAACACTCAGAAAGCGGGGAGGGGGGTAGGGGGTCCCCAGGGACAGGGTGGGTAGAGGCAAGGTTTTTTGGGGGGGTGGGGACAGGAAAAGGGGGGCACGGAGTGCAGGGACCGCACAAAAGGCAGCCGAGCTGCAGGAGCTCAGAAGGGCTTCACCTGTCGGCGGCCATCTTGAAAGAAAGAAAGAAAGATGATTTAATAGAGATGTAGCCTGAAGAAACAAAGGAATTTCATAGATGAATGGACAGAAAACTGCCTTAAAAAGAAGTTGTGATGACTGGGCTCCAAAGCTGCATGAGTAACAGTTCTGCAACTTTACCGGGGGTGGGGGTGGGGGGGGTTAAAGGATTCTCAGAGGACCATTAGGTAGAAGATTTTCCTACCCATAAGAAAAACATAAAAGGATGATTTATTACTTGTTGCTAATGAACAGGTTTCACAGTACAGTTGCCTCTATTTTACACTAGAGAGATACTCTTAAGCAAGCACACAGTAGACTTCTGCTGTCATCGTCCCACTTCGTGCTTACTGTTTGAAAGACCCAAAGGCGCTTTGTGATATTCACAACAAAACATGGCTACAGGAACCACTCATTTGACCTCCTCTTCCCTTAACAACAGAATACGTGGTCATTCTATTTTATAACAACATTTCTGAAGAAATAAGTGCCTCACGCTTTTTCATGATTAACATCTCGGAGCCTCCTTCCGCTAAGATCTCGGCAAGCCTCTCGATTTGTTGTCTTTTCAATCTGAGCACCAAGTGCTCGGAGCATTGATCCAAAACCTGGGGGAAAGAATTAACAGAAGTCAGCTATGAAGCTGTGATAGAGATCAAGAGTAAAAGAACCACTACTGTTTTAAAAACACTTTTGCTTGCCCCCAAAAATAAGGGGAGACAGTGAAGCACAATATGTACCTACCTTAAGGAAAAAATTCTTTAGCCTCACTGTTAGCAAGAAATGGGACATAGCAGAGTTGGTGATTGGCATACTGGAGCCCAAAAGGTGAGCTATACATATTTAAGATATGATCAGGTATACTGTTGGGCCAAAAACCCAAGGGTATGGGCACAACAGTTGACTGCAGAGCAAGGAGTGAGGATTTATCATGTATCAGTGTTCCACAACAACTGACTGCTCCTATTCCGTAGCTTACCTCTCAGTAAGAGAGAGTTATTTACCATGATTTATGTTCTATTTACCATGGGATAAAAGCCAGTTATTAAAGAGTAGCTGACATGCAGTAAACTTCTGCACCTTTTAACCAACCATAGTGTGTTCATGTTTGCAAGTCAAAAAAAGGCACTTAAGTGAAAAAAAATTCTCACGTTAGCTCAGGAATTCATTTGGCATGATTTCAAGAGAGCCAATGAATATCACAGCACCTATGCTTCCACCCAGAAGCTACAAACTATTATTGGAATCCCCCAGTGCAGTGTTCCTCAATTTTCTCTGTTCTGAAAGCACCTCAGGACTCCTCCCTTCCATCTAACTAGTACATCTCTCCCTGTGGGACCACTGTCACAATCCCTGACTGAGACTCCCTGAACAGTAGTCTAGAAAAAATGCATTTTTTCCTCTGAGATGCACCCTGGATTTTGTAAAAGTCTGAGCAAATATCTGTCATCTGACAGAAGCCATCATACAAGGCATTGTGGTTTGGGTTTTTTTGGTTTGTTTGGGTTTTGGGGGGGGGAGGTGGGAGGGGGTGGAAAGAGACATTATCAGCAGAGACTCAGTAATGCTAAGATTACATGTACACATCTGGTGTCTCTAACTTGTAACTGGGCTATTTATTTAATGGGTGTCTTGGTTTTTATCACCCAACCATGAATTAGCAGAATTACATTTACCTCAAAGAGGTGCAGCATGGATTAACGTTAGAGTGCTTTGAAGTGCCAAGTGTTATTCTTTAATTTAAAAAGTAGAAGAAACTGTACTGTACTCCAAGTCTTAAGGTACTTTGCAAGACTATCATAAAAAGCTTACATAATTGGACACTCACCTTGAGAAAGTTTACTTAATTAAAACAAAATTAACGCCAGAGGTAAGCAGAATTTTACAAAGCAGAGTAAAATTTGGAGTAGCTTTATTAAAGGTTGCCCAGGATTTGATATCCCAAAGCACATAAGGAGCTACTTCCTAACTCTGCCTACAGACATAGCAGATTAAAATATTAAATCCAGTTCTCAGAATTTAAATATAAGAGTTTATTGAAGCAAATGTGAAAGTCATGCAACTAAACTGCTTTTTAAAAAAATGCATCAATAAAAAATCTGCAGCACCATAAGAAGCCAGCAATGCAAGACTTCTACAACACAATTACAGGCTGAAGCAGGTGACTCTGGCAAGTGACACCTAGAAGGGGAATTTGAGACTGCAGGATGAACAACAGAACTGAATGTTTCTAAAGGAATCAGCAGCAAAATATTCTGACCACATAAATAGTCTTTTTGGGGTTTCGCAGGTACAGTTTCAAACTGAAGACTTGTTAGGACAAGGTACTGCATTGATTAAACTCATTTCACATTTTTGTGATCATAGTTGGGAGCTTTTAAAAAAAAAAATAAATCTACGAATGCTTGATTTTGTGTAGGGTTCTGCAGCAGATTTACGGTCATGAACCTTAGAATAAGGAAACTCTGACACAAAACGTTTTCAAACAAGGTTCACTAGTTTTATTATGAAACAATAAGCTAAGAATCTGCATGTTGTAGCTTCAGTGCTTCTGGGGGTAAAAACAAACAAGCCATACTTTATAATGTCAAAGGGCCCAAATCACTTTTGAAAATCAGATTTATGTTCGTAAGTCACTTAAGCCAGATGAATGTATGGACTTCTGCCAGCACACCTACAATGATCAAAGGCATGCAAACACGGAATCCCCCAAAGAGGTGCAAATATAATAGCAAAACTGAGTTTTTACTGCTGCATCTTGTCTTACTCCTGGAGAGTGGTTTCACTATACTGCTACAAAAGGACTACTCCCCAAACAGGAATGTTTTGCCACCATAGCATACGAGTTGTGCACTCCTTATACTGATAAAGTCTGAGATTTTTTTAAAATTTTGAGCCTTGACTCCAACAGATTAGAAATGTGACAATTCTTCACCTCTATTTAGTACAAGAAAAGAATTAGTAACTAACCTCCTTTTCCACCACAGAGTCTTGGTTCCAAACTATAAACAGCTCCATCCTGGAGCTCATCTTCAGGATTAACCAGTCGTCCATTGCACTTGACATAGACACTTTCCTCAGGAATTCCCTAGAAATAATAAAGCTCATTCTATAAAGATAAAATGGAATATGCCGACTGATCCTGGTCTAAGAGTACAATTGAGAGGCGAATGGCCTCCCCCATCACCGTTTTTATATGGTATTAAAAAAACCCCATAGAAGATCTGAAACCATTCACTGAATAAGTAATTTTAAAAAGTTACAAATGACCTTATGAAGAATGCTTGGCATTTGAAAGCTTGTCTCTCAACTACTCAGTTGGTCCAATAAAAGAAATTCTTGTCTCTTGCATCTAGTCCCATCACTGCTATAATGTTAATTTTAACACTGTGATTCTCAACCAAGGTGCTGGAAATACACATATAAACTAAGCAGGTAAGCCCAGTTTCAGACATGTCCCCATCCCCACTGCCAGGACCTTTTGAAAAGAAGAAAGCAATGTAGTCTAAAAATTAGTTTTTCACAAAAGTTATGAAGAGCTTGAATCCAAAGAGTATGAGAACCACTGCTTTAACACTACCCAAAAAAAAATTACAACCATTTCAAATCAAGTTACCAAGGAACTCATTTGATGGACAGGATTTAATGTGCATGATTTGCCATTTAAGATTATAGTGCAGGTTAACGGTGCTCATACCACAGTTTACATTTCATGTCCACTGTTAAAATACACCATATTTCACCAACTGACATAGAACAGCATTCTGCACCATCCAAAATGCGTACCTTCTGCTCAGCTATGCTTAGGCAATGGGATAAATCAAAGACTGTGAAAACTTGTCTAACATGTTTGTCAGTTCTCACAATAATTGTGAGGCATTACAACACGGGTGGGCTGCATGCAGCCTGCCAGGCTATTCCATCCAGCCCAATTGACCCCCCCCCAAAAAATCTAGAAAATTAATATTTATCTGCCCTAGGTTGCCTCCCATGCAGCCCTCGATGGCTTGCTAAAAACTCAGTAAGCGGCCCTCTGCCCAAAATAAATTGCCCACCCCTGCATTTCAAGATCCCCATCTCCCAGAACAGGAGCAGGGAGGTGAAAACAAGTGAAGCACAGCTGCCCAACTGTGGCCACAAGGCACAAGAAGTGTCACTTCTGCCACTCACAGCTCTACTCAGATTTCCTATGCGAGTTCAGGCTACTCGCATCACATCTCCCCAGCTATTTACACTGAGCAGTTTGGGGCAAGTATCTACAGGCTGGCCGCACACTTGGCACTGGCCACACACCAAGCCATGAGGGCAGCAACAGCTCATTTTGTGCATGTTGGGGGGAAACATGAAACCTGCCAAAAGGCTCCATCACTTGCTGGCAGCAGAGGCCAGACACCGCGGGGGGTACCCAGTATTGGGAGCGCCAGGGCACTGCTATGGGCAAGGCGCACACATTACTGGCTGGAGGAGATGCGCAAAGGGCAGCCCCCACGACATGCCACAAGGCCCCCTCTAGTGCACCCAGTGGCAGCCACAGCCTCCAAGGAGACAGGGCACAAAACACAGAAGCCTTAGAGAGCTGGGCTGGAGGGGACCTCCAGAGGTCAAGCCCCAGGCACGAAAGGCCTCGTGGCCCGTGCGGGGACCCAACCCTCGACACCAGCAAGACAGGGCTGGCACTGGCCTCGCCCCTCCG